GGGAAGTTGCTCTCGTTTAATCCTTTGTATAATTTTCGCATGCAGAGGATGAGTACAAAGTTCTGCCTCCAGAAACAGTGCATTTAGTTAGGTGCAGGCTCAGTAATGGAATTACTTGAAAACCTTCTTTTAGGAAGCAATTATGAAAAAACATTGCTTTGTTTGGGAAATGGCATGTGAAGCATTACATAGTTGATTAAAGAAGTGGCTGCAGTGTTTTGAAGCATTATTCTCTGTCTTGGATATTTGCAGGAAATCTTGACTTTTTTTTTTTTCTAACAGAATATCCTTTTCAAGCTTTTTTTTTGCCTTTTTTTTTTTCTTTTTTTGGCTTGCTTTGTGAAAAATTGGCTACAGTTGTACTCAAACTCCAGCTCTCTTACCTGTCTCTTTCTGGTTCCTCAGTAACCTTCCTATCTGAGTTTAGTATTTAATGGCTGACATAACAATAGAAGGTCATACTGTTTGCTGGAGCGCAGGGAAGAAGGAGAGGACTCTTGGAGCACGCTGCTGCCTTCCTGTGTTGTTGAAGTTGTACCCCGTTAATAAGTCTTTGAGAGACCAGCTGTGCTCCTCACTGGGAACTTCCATCAACAGCCATATTTCATGAGGCTACAAGTAGCTACAATGTTTCCCTAGGGTGTTTTTGCCATGTTCCCGAAATTAATTTAGAGTTACAATTCTCAAGAATACCGTCCCTCTAACTGAAGTGTATGCTATTTATTCCTGAATTTATGTTGATAAATCTAGCTCTCCTAAAATGCACGCTGCTCAAACAAACCTGTTTGCCCAAGATTCAAGCCAGTCTGTGTAGTTGTTCTGCTCACATAATTGTTTACCTTTCAACAATTTTTGTTCTGTGCAAATTTCATTGGAAAGTTTAAATTCTCTTTCAGGTCACTGGAATAGCTTTGGGCAAAGATTCTTTAACTTGATGTTTCTAGAAACATCAAGTCTTGAATAATTATTTTACCTTTACAAATGTCAGTTTGCAAGTTTAATCCATTTGATAGCTTACCATTGTTTTTGTAAGATGTTAATTCTTCAATTGGAATATGTTGATGTGGACAGACCAAAACTGTGTTGTGTGGGAAGATAGCTGCTTGAACAGTATGTAGGTTACTGCCACAGTGCACTTCAGAAATATGAGCATAATTTATCAGCACAGTTATCACACAAAACCAAAAGCTTATTAAAAAGAACAACCCAAGGTTTGTATGGAAATATTTATTTTATGTAAAACTATATAGATTGGCATAAGTCATGCAAGAGTCTCTGACTGTTTGCTGATGTTTACCACATCTGACTTCCCAGTGTTTGAGGCCAGGGTTAACATTAGACTGATTGGTCTGTCAGTGCCGCATCCTATCCTCTATCCGCTCTACATACGGGTGCGCGTTTAGTTAATGCATCATTGCTACAAGTGTATTTTGTTAAAAAGTGATAGAGGAGTTACTCCTACAGTACATTTAAATGAACATATTTTGAAATTTAGGCAGTTAGATTCAATTGGCAATTGTCTGATGTATTGCACCCACTATGTTTAATCACCTTTGAGTGAGTATATAAAGTATAAAAATTAGAACATGGGTGATATGCAATCTCTGTCTGGACAATGCCCATTTAGAGTGGGCTTTGCTGAAATTTAGTTTTTCATGCTCTGCTTGACTTTACTGCAGTATTTGTGGCTTACCCTATTCCAAAGATGTTTCTCTTTGCAACCAAGGACCAGTGTAGTAAATGTCAAGATGTGTGCATATATGCGTATATATCTGCACAAATGCATTAGTAATAAGACTATACAGAAAGAATTCAAAGTTATGCTTAAAAAATTAAGTTTTATAAGCTTTAATAAACATTTTAGCTTTTCAGTTGTTTCCTGGATGACCTTTTAAATCATAGATTTTAATGTAAATCAATGTGATACTGCTTTAGCTGAAATAGTGTGTACCATTTTATTCTGTTAAATAATAGGTTCACTACAGAGAGCAGCTTGGCAAAGCTACTGCTATGAGTGTCACTCCTGAGATAGAGAGAGTCAAGAAGAATCAAGACAATATCAGCTCGGCAAGTTGTTTGAATGTGTTGTTGTTTAGATTTTCAGTCATTGTAGGAACATAACAAGGATATGCTTTTCCAGTTAGTTTTGATGTGTCCAATGAATCCAACTGCATCATCCACTGAATGGATTTTTTTTTATCCTGTGAGTACATGCACTGCACATACGGACAACAAAAATATTCAGACTTGCCTGATTATTCTTACAAACAAGTAAGTGGTTGTGTGGGGACTAGTATTTTTCAAGGAGAGAGTCAACAGAGCTTGGTCATTCTTTCAAGAATTTTCATCTCTTTATACCAAGTTTTAGTTGCTAGATTAAAGGAGTCAATTACAGTAAAGAACAAAGGAATTGAGAATTTAATGCAAATTTCATTTTTTTATGATTCAAAGCATCGAAGCAGATAGTTATCCATTCCACTCTGTGACCTGCCTTCTGTGTCAGAGCTGAGTATTCCTAAATAGATCCTATTACTAAACATTGAAGAGTAAATACTATATTTTCCTTGACTTTTATGATATTACCTTTTTTTTTTTTTTTTTTTTAATTGCCACTACAGTGGTGTAAGAAGCAGCCGACATTTCTAATAAGGAGCAAGGAAGAAGCCAAAACAGCACAATGAAGTACAGGACTAGACTAGTTACATTACAGTCTGTCCTCAACACTGAACCAACATCAGTGACAAAGCCTCTGCAGATGGTAAATAGAACAGATTTCATGCAGAGCCACTGTTTCCAGGTGGCAGAAGAGAATAGTAGTGAACACTTCTGAACTGAGTGTAGAAGTGAAAAGTAAAGTAGGTTGGATTTGTCAGAGGGTTTGTCTAAGGACAAAGAAACAGAATCTGACCTTGTAACTATGTATGTCTTAAGTACATTCGTAAAATGCTCATGCATATTTACCAAAGTCAATCAGTTTTGAGGTGCATAGTTAAAAATAAGAGGAAATCTTCCCAACAATTCTAGACTTTAAATGATTTTTTTTTTTTTTAGTTCTGAAAATTAAGCTTTTTTTTTTTTACAAATGTCTCCTTCACTTTGTTTCTCAAGATTTACAGGGATAAATACTCCTCTATGTTAATGAGCAGTAGATGGAAACCAGACTATGTTGGCTGTAATTATTCCGTCTGGAAAATACTTTATATTCAAAAGAGTATGTAGCTGAATGTATTTGCTAAGAAAATTTATTTTTCAATTAAGAAGGGTTTGAAGAATATGCAGTACCCTATATTTCTGTTTCTCTGTACGTTACTTCAAACTTACTTATGAAACATAGACACCAAGACTCATAATTTTGTAGGTATGTTGTGCTTAGCTAATATGTAATTTTAAGGAGCGTTAGACAATTTCAATACTTTGTTTCTCTCATCACAAATGCATATTGAAGTAGATTTTCACAACTGATTTGAGAGGTAATACTTTGAGTGTGAATACATAAGTAAATCTAAAATATTTACTAACACTCAGTGCACAGGTTACAATGCAGTGTAAGATAAGGGAGTCCATTGGTAGAAGAATTCAACCAGCCAGAAGAAACTATAAGAGTACTCACTCTAGAACCAGCAAATAGAACAAACGAACTACTTTTACTGTTTTAGAATTTCGAGTGTGGGTTTTTTTGGTTTTATTTTTTTCACCAGGTGATTAACCTTGCATCTTTACAAGTCTGTAAAATGTCACAAAAGAAGCTAATTAGGAGAAACGTGACATAGGAGGTTCTGTACTTACTGATGCACAAAACATGGATCCCAAATGTTCCATTTGAAAACAGTATATTCAGATTTGTCTCAGACATGTTGCTTTTGTGCTGCTAGCAAAGACTAGCTACTGAACAGGAGTAAGAAGGTTGCCAAAGGACTAATCCTCCTGTAAGAGTTGAATTCTCTGGGGACTGAGGGGTTCTCAGCTAATCCCAGCCTGGAAGCAGGCTGAGGACAGAATCTGGATCTGGGAAACAAGAAGGTAGCTTATCATCAGCCATACAGATGTGTTTTAATGATGTCCAAGTCACAGTGTTGTTTTTTTATTATTTATCTTATTTTTCATTTGATAAATGAATTATTTCATTTATGTTATTTAGATAGTCAAGAGTTTCAGCTTTCAGGTAAATACTGTTTTTCTGAGTAAGTGATTGATGGAATAAATGTGCCCTTTGGCCTTACCAATATAGTAGCTCATCTGTATTCTCTCTCTGAAATAAGTTACTAGAAAATGAGCGTGAAGAAATAAACAAGAAAATCATTGGGCATTGTGATTTGGAAAGGATGCCATTGCATGGTGTGATTCTCACCATCCCATCTACTGTAAACAAAAACTTCATGTGTGCTGTTCTTGCTGTCTTGCAGGTGAAATACAGCAGTGATCAGAGACAGATGAAAGGTAGACGTAGTGTGCTTCTAGACACACCTGAGCTAAGGCATGTCAAAGAAACACAAAACAACATCTCAATGGTAGGGTACTTTCTTCCTATAACTAGAATATACTAAGGAATGGCACTTGACTGCCACTGGATTTTGCCTTCCATTAATATAGGTAACTAATGAAACTCTCTGCTCAAATATGGAAGGAATATTTTCTTCTTGTGCCTGTTGAGGGAGTGTTTGCTAACTGCATATAACTGTAATGAACATTTTCAAAATACTAATAAACAGTTTTCTAACAGTTAAATGTCTGTTCTTTTGTTTGTTTATTTTTTTTCTTTAAAAAAAGTACGCACCTCATGTGAGCATCACACAGTTTGACTGGATTAGGTGACACACTTCACCTTGTGCCTGTGCACGTTCCTGGTTTCTGCGTGACTTTTGTTCTTGGAATGAGTTGTTTTGTGTGCATTTGCTTGTGTGAGAATGTTTGTCAATTTGATTATTTGATGATTAAGCCTATTTAAAAAATAAATATGAATAATCAGAGGAACTACCTTTATAACTCTTTACTAATACTGGTTTTGTTCCAACACTTGGTTATATAACATTTTCTACCCTAATGTCCTTGGTTTTAATTTTTCTTCTTTTTTTTTCTTTTTTTTTTTTTTTTTTGAAAGCAGGCTGCTTAAAATAACTGCAATTCTCTCTAAAAACCTATGTTTAAAGCCAGCTGGCATATGATAAAACAAAAGAATGAAAGAGTACCTTTTGTATGAAACTGTGTGTATAATCAAAATTCTCAGTGAATGAAAGTACTTGAGTTCTCTAGAACTATTACTGCTGAAACATTTTTTACTGACAGATGTAGTTGTCTACATCAATAGAGAGCTATCCTATCTTAGAGACGAGGAGAATGGACCAGATGACCTCCTGAGGACTTTTCCTGTCCTGTGTGACTGCAAGATGATGCTTTGCTACTTGAATTAATGTGCAATTCAGTGGCAATGGAAAACAAAGGAAAAAAATGATAATAAAATAACAGGAAATCAAGTTAGGGAGATAGAAAACACTTGGCTGGCCATCCAGCCTATCTCTTGAGTGTATCAATTCTATGATGGTACAAAACCCAAAGAGTGTAAGTGCCTCATAAACCAAACATGTATGCGTTCCTGCATAGAATAATAATTTACTGTCAATTGCAGCCTGGGGAAAAATGTAATTCTTGTTTTCCTAGGTAAAATACCATGAAGATTTTGAGAAGACGAAGGGCAGAGGCTTCACCCCAGTGGTAGATGATCCTGTTACAGAGCGTGTGCGGAAAAACACCCAAATTGTGAGTGATGCAGCATATAAAGGTGTGCATCCACATATCGTTGAAATGGATAGAAGACCTGGAATAATTGTTGGTAAGTTGTTAAATACTGTTGCTATTGGAAACACTGTGGGGAAGATGAAAGCCTGTGTGTTCTTCATCATAACCAAGGAAAAGTATTCCCAGATTTCATTTTTACTCTTTTCTTGTCATGAAACTTGTGTTGAACTACTGGTTTGATGCTAGCTTCTAGTGAAGTAATAGTGGGAATAAATGGGAGATACATTGTCATTTGCTTTGTAATTTTTTTTTTTGAAACATGAATAGTTGTTGCTATTACTTTAAATTTGAATTTTTGCTCTTCAAGAAAGGCCAAAATACCTGCAATAGTCTCCATTTTGCACAGAAGAGAGACGATTAAATCTGTGATTCTTCAAAATGTCAATGTTTAAATGTTGCAGACCAGTTTGAGATTTTCCCATTCTGTCAGTCAACAATTTCTCCAGAGCTGCACATGCTCCATTTACCTCTTGTTTTATCATTTCACGCAGCTTTCAAAATATCTTAAGCTGTAATTAGTTAGTAACTTACCTCTGGTAAGCCAAACACCAGTTTTCAGAAGTGATGGTCTAAAAGATGTTCCAAGATAAGACCAGGAGTTCAGGGGATAGAATACAGATTGGGTTTGTATGTAGAGAAGGAGTATTGCATTAAGATGTCATTTGGGTATCCATAATAAACACTATTTCAAAATCAAAATGGATATATGAAATCTTTTAAAAGTTAGCAAGTCTGCTATAGCAAAGGAAATGGTAGCTTGACATTTTTATTTTTTTCCCCTTATTTTTTTTTGGTGTGTCCTTTTTCTGTTTTTCTCTGCTTTACAACAGTGTAGACCCCAGAGGGTCTACATACAGAAAAACAAGCTAAGATATCACTCTAAAAGTCCTTCATACATAGTAATAATAGCAAGGGTTGACTTTAAGTCAACCTCTCAAAAATCAGAGAAATTGCAGGTCAAGTGAACTGATCGGTAGGTCATATAGTCCATCCTCCGGCCTAAAGCGAGGTTAACTATATCTATATCATTCCTGGCAGATGCTTTTTCAGTCTTTTCCTTAAAGTCTCCAAATGAGTCTCCATCACATAAAGAAGTGTATTTCTTTCATTTTGTGTAGCCACCTTTTACACGTCTGTAGCTATAGCCTTACATCAGAAGAGATTTCTCAAAAGTGAGTGCTTAGAGAGCTCTGCCCAGGGAAGGTACTGATGCTTTTAAGACCATGCAAGTCTCAGAAGCTAACACATTCTGGATCTAGGGCAACAACTTGTTCAGAAAACCATTGCCTGTAGAGACCCAAGCACTTGAACTCACTTCCATAGCTAGAAGTGGTGCAGCCAAAGAGAGAGAGAAAAGCTCCTGTGAAATTGCAGTTTAATATACAGTTTGCAATATGCCATTGAGTGCGTGCTTCAGATCTCCGGCTCTGTACTACGTTGCACGTGTGCTGTAGCCCTATGTACGAATCGTGTGTGCAATCCTGTGTTCAATAACTGAAGGTTTGCTAGCACAGATTAAGATTAAGAACATCCCTGTGATAAATTCTTGAGCTTTAACTGACTGATATATTACTACTGTTTAACAGCTTAAAATACTGCAGTATAAAAACACACAGGAATTCTTAACTCCCAATACCCACCAAACAGCAAAAATAGTGCATCTATTTAAAGGAAAGAGGCCATGACAAACCTGTGAGCCTAATATCCAGTGGTATTTCAGCTAATGCTTTTTATGAGTGAACTGCAATTGTAATATCTACTTGTTTAAAAAGAAGTAGCGAGCTCTCTGCTCAGGGAATGTTCTTGGCAGCTAGAAAAAAAAAATCTCTGAAAAAAACAACTATGACTCTCTTGAGTTTTTTCCTAGCTGATAATTGTTCAGACAGTTAGGAAAGGTACCTCTGTGTTAGAGTCCATCTGGTTGTTTTTTAAAGTATTATTGATGAAACTGTAACAACTTTTTCATATGCTTGATTGCTAAAATTAATGCCTCTGCTTTGGAAAAATAGGCACTGGTTTTAACCATGGTAAAACCATTCTAAATCCATCAAGATAAATTAATGTAACTGAGCTTTGAGTCTGTGACTAAAGAGGCTCCATGATGCTCACGTGAGTATAAGGATATTTTAAATTGGCAAAAGTCACCAGGAAGTTAAAATTGATTGGTGCTACGAATTGCCAAGATTCTGATTCTAGGTATGTTATTTCAGGTTACAGAGATGGATAAAATCAATACAAATCAATGACTGCTGCGGTGATGCTGTCGTGAAGCCGTACCTCTTATGTTTTTACTTACTAAGGCATGATCAAACAAGAAAAGTTGGTCATTCAGCAGTTCCCCCACCCCTCTCATGTCTGTCAGTGCTTTATCTGGTTGCATAATTTATCACCGTTAGGACTAACAGTTTGTCAAAAGACTTTGCATTGGCTTTTATTCCTCATGTCAAGAGGGAGTTAGCACTGTGCCTCACCTGATGGGAGTTGCAGTAGGTAACACATAATGTACACACATTGAATGTATTCTAAAGCCATGGGATTTATTTTATTAGGTCTCTCTGTTCTTTCCATTGCCTCTAGGCTATTAATCATTTGAAACATGACATATTTGGGGTCCCCAGAGTCCTACTTTACCTACCAACCCATTATTTAGCTTGGTACCACTCAAACCAGCAAAAGGACCAAGTTGAGAAGACAATTATTTTTCCCACTTCCAATGCACTGAGTAAATCTTGCAGACAGGTCTGCCCAAGAAGCAAACTGCTAGTAAAAAGGTGTGATCTGGTAGATTTGTGCTTTAACTGATTGTACTTTATGTCAAGGTTTTATTTTAAACTCGTTTGGAGAGATTAAATGACTATTATGTTTTTAGACATAGCAGATATGAATTGTATGTATTAGATTGTTGTGAGTAGATCAAGAATTTACAAATGCTTCTGCATTTGTTTTAAGCCTCCTCTTAACTCGTAAAACACTGTAATTATTTGTTAAAAGTTTATTAAATACATGATTGAATCTGTATTCACTTGTCTGCCGTGATTATAACTTGAACTTGGATATGGAATTAACTATTTCTTATGGACTCTTTTTTTCTTCCAATATCCAGTTCAGACATGTGAATTCAAGACATATTAATAACTTACTTGTATGAATTAGAGCTGAAGGTCTTACCGTTACTACTGGTTTTGAATCTATACAATGAATTCCAAAAATGCTTTTCAATAGTAGGGTAGTGTATCAACAGTAAATCTGTGCCTCAGGAAACTTAGATATTTGGAAGACAAAAGGAATTACTAGTGAAGGTCAAGAGTGAGCTTAATTTTACCCAACTGTATATGTCTACAATGTAGATTTCTGCAGCTGAATTAGTCACCCTAGTCCATTCTTTGTATTAGTTAGGAAAGATGGATACTTTTGAGTTTAAATGAATTGAGCAACTTTTAGAAGTTTATTTTGGATAAGATCAACTATGTCCTTGATTCTGCTTAGTAGGCTGACTTGATCTCTACTGTGTGCAAAGGAGGGCCAGTAGTGCCTCTGTCAGCTGTAGAGATGTATACTGGCGACTGTCAGCTATAGGGGTATATACTGCAGCTTCTCCATGGAGTAAGGATGCTGTTGGTGAGCTGAGGAAATCATCTTGTAGCTCTCATTTCCATTTATTTAGACATAAGAAAATACTATGATTATATTTAGAAAAGGAAAAAAAAAATTGGGAGCAAAAGTCTTCTTAAAGTAATGTCAATGCTTAAAATGAATGCACTCAGTTCTTTTAAGGAGGAAATTAATGCTTTCTGGTCTTTTCAGGTGAATATTTAGATCTTTTGGTTAATTTCTAGGTGAAGGAAATTGGTCACTGATTGTTAAAACTCATTCCTTTCATGCTTTTACCTCCTTTGTTTTTTGTCTGTCTTATGATTTCTGTGCTTTGGGAAAAGATCTTAAAGTTTGGCGTACAGATCCTGGCTCCATCTTCGACATTGATCCTCTGGAGGACAATATTCAGTCTAGGAGTCTGCATATGCTTTCTGGTATTGCTTATATCCTGACTTTTCCCCAAATCAGTTTTTAATGTTTATGAAAGTTGATACAGTAAATTTTCAGGTCAATGTGCCAGCCATATGTTTTATAAGTATGTTTTCATATATATATATCTGCTGTATTTTAAAAGCAGTGTTTTGTAGGAGCTTCAGCTGTAATCACATGTGCAGATAAGAAATAATGAAAGAAATGTTGTCCTAAACAACAGTTATTCATACCACTTAGAAACAGTCACTTAAAAAGCACTGACCTTTGTCCTCACTGTAAATAGAATTTTCAAATAGTGGGACCTTACTAAAATTTGAGAGATATAGAAGATGGTCTATTTATGAAATTGATTTCTTTTCTATGCACATTTTGCTGAAATGGCACATGATATTATGCCTTGTGCTATTGTTACATTCTTTGGTGTTCATAATTTAAGGCTAGATGGGAAAGGACAGAAGTTAATGTAGTAACAGGCAGCAATGTTTTAGCTCTACAAGTTTAGGGATTTTTTTTTTTTTCTCCATAAATATTAATTTTGAATGCTTAATTTTGCACTTTTTTTTTTTTGGCTACTAATACTGGATTTTTAAAATATTTTTTGAATGTCATTCAGCAGTATTTCCACATGTGCTTTTCTCAGTATATGCATGCTGAACATTTTGATTTTCCACTGGAAATTTTCCTATGCTGCTTCTTCATCCTGTTTTTTTTTCCAATATCTCAATCCTACCTTCCATCTCTGATATTTTTTTTGAGCAGAGAACAAGCTTAGTTGTATTTGATTTTGAAGCAACCTTTTGAACTAATGGTGCTCAAAATGGACATAAAATTGTGAACAATTTTTTTTCCTCTAATTTTGATGCCATCAATGTATGAATAGCAATGTTAGCAGTGTTGAGGTTTTTGTTATTGCTCATCTTGGCATTTCTGTATTTATTGTGATATTCTTTCTTTCTACCTTTATAGAAAGGGCAAACCGTTACAGTAAGCAGTATTTACATTCTACCAGTTTGGGAGATTATAAATCAGATGGCTCTGACACAAACCCTACCTTTTCTTACTGCAGTGAGATAACAAGGCCATCTGATGAAGGAGGTACCCTTATTCCCACCTTTTTCACTAATGACACTGTCACAGTGTGTTGAGATCTCACAGGCCTGTATTAACTCCGTATCCTTGTATAGTCACAAATCGTTAGAAACTATGTAAGCTATTGCCTGATTGATAGGAAGCAAAGCAAAATCTCAAGACTGCATGGTTTCTTGCATGCCATAGTGCTTTATTGTGTATTCTCTTTCACCAGTTTGGTAATGCTGTCAGTCCAAGAGCCCTGCTAACTCCCATTGACAGTTCTTAAGAAAAGGTGTGTTGTATTTTTCAAAATGTACACAAATCTTTTTTTTTTTCTCTTGAAAGACACAATGCAACTGAAAAAATAATTTTAACTTGTGCTTTTTGATGGGCAAATCAAGCATATGGTAGTATTTTAGTGACTGAAGTACTTCTTCCTGTATTAAACTAGCCAGGTGCTTGTGGCTCTCTGTTTCCCTTCTAAAAAAAAAAAGGTGTATCAACTGGCAACTTTCTCCCATATGAATGTTTTCTTATACTCTCAGCAGTTGGAAACCAGTGTTAATGCTGAACTGGGAATCTTATGTAGTCTGACATTGTTTAACATGGATTAATATTAGAATACTTTGATGACCTGCATTCCCAGGTACAAAACCACATCTTGCATCTGTTTGATACCATAGATTAGAAGAAAATTTATTAAAATGATGAATAAGGGTCTGGTCATCCTAGTGGCATTACAGTGTGTATTAGACTTGACTGGTGAACTGTGAATATTCAGAACCATTGCATTCTAAATATATATTTTAAAAGGAAAGTGATTTCTCCTTCTCAGTTGTGAAAGAAGGTGCTTTGAAAAGGTTATCCAAAGAGTTACTAAGTGTTTTTTTTTTTTTGTTTGTTTGCTTGGTTGTTTTCTTCTTTTTAAAGAAAGTGTTAAAGATATTGCTACCATTTGGTTACCTGGCATCCTTGAATTATCCATGCTTTTAGAAGACTTTAAGGCATCTTAATTGTGGGCTACACCTGTTTATGTTTTGTCACTCACCAGGGTAGTATGTTGTTATAGTGACTTGTGTTTAGGGAGTCTACATGTTGTTAGGTGCATATAAGCAAGCATACATACAAGCAGCTCTGATTAAGAATGAGTGAGGAAGAAAGTGTTCAGACTGAAGAACTAACTCTGAACAAAGAAAGAAACATGTCTTTGACAGAACTGTAGCCCTGTATATCATATCTGTCCATCTTGATTTGATATTTTAACTATATTCCCAACTCTTTTAATAGATAATAGCAATAATGCTCATCATACTGATTTTTATGACTCTTCCTGCGATGATGCAAAGTGGGCTTCACAGTCCAGTGCATATTGTTCTGATCTTTTTTGGCTCTCTTCCAAGCCACTTTAATGTTGCTTTGTCAGATTGATTTGATTGTTAACAGATATTTTTTATTACTTGCCATATTGAGAATAGGAAATGGGCTTTATTTTGCTAGTTGTTTTGGTGCTAGCAAGCTTGCTTTTTGTATTTCTATTTAAATCTATTGTTGTGGTGATGTGTTGAATGGGTCCTTGCCAAGATGAACATATTTTAGCAAGATATTGTTTCCACTTTTGACCCAGCTGGCTACCCAGTGTTTGAGCACTTGCAGACGGTTCCCTTTGCAGGGGAGAAATAAACGCCAGAGCTAAGTAATTTGACATAATCCTAATGATTTGCAAGAAAATGCCATTTTTGTGAACATAGAAACAACCAGCAGAAGATAGCATCCTTGGTCAAAAACACCAGCCTTTTTCTTGGCAGCATCCCATCCAAAATGTCGTTTAGCACATAGCCACAAGGTGAGTTTGCCCTTGACCTTTATGCACTGCCTCTTATGGTGTACTGCAGTGAATGAGAATCAAATACATTTTGCTGAGATTTCATGGCTGATTCTCTTGGAGTTTGTACTTTCAGATATAGCGGTGTTTCTCCCTGGCAATTGTTCAATCTGATGATACACCAACATGAAAGACAGTTGGAACCTGTCACCAATCTTACAGCCTCTTAAGTGTCTTTGGCCGTGTCTCATATCTTTCAGATATTTCTATGTTGTTCAATTGCTTATTTATTTTAGATTCCTTTACTGATTTTGACCCACAACTCAAGTCTTCACCAATCCACTGCCACTGCTGGTGGAATTGTTCCTTAACCACCTTTCGCAGCCCTTAGCTGATCCCTGGCTTCATATCAGATGTTAAAGGCTTATCTAGATCTAAATAATTCTCTCTTGTCTTTGGGGAATTTCAGTAACAACATCACAGGGGGACTACTAACATTGTTCACTAGAATTAATTCTTCCTGTTGGATTCCCTGACCATTATTTTAGATAACGAGGTTGACCTGAGCCAAGTGTGCCTCCCAATTCCCTACAAAATCGGTACATTTTTGCATGATGTCAGTTCAGAAAAAATCCCGGACCTCTCTCTTAGACTACTGCAGGTAAAACTGAATAGAAAACAATTGTTAATGCTTTCCAGCAGGCCTGATGCAGGTGATGAACTTTCATTTTGATATTCTTTTTGAAATTACTTTTCATCTTTGTCTGTCCTTTTTGCAGCTTCTCTCTATTAGTGTTTTTCAAGGTTGACTTTATTCAACAGTGTTTTTCAAGGTTGACTGATGGTATTATTGGTTTTTTTTTTGCCATACTGGACAGAAGGTGTTGCACTAGAGCTTCTCAGTATGCCTAAATGCTTTGTGATTAATTACTGCCGTAACAAAGATTTCCTTTTTACCTGCAAGCCATTCTGTAGCACTTCCCAGAAACAGTTGGGTGCCACATTAGTTCTTGCAAAATTCTCAGCAAGTGGTTATTTTCAATTTGGCTAAAGAGGAACAGGAACTAACAATTTCTCTCTTTCAATTCTGCTTTTAACGTTGGTATTGCAACTTCTCAGACATGAGCTATTCATTCATTTTTTGAGTTTTCGAGATTATTTTCATCAGAAAGAGAAGTTGAGATATATGGATGTCAGATTTATTTTTGTTTATAGACAGACCAGACACTCCCTTTTCCACAGAACGCTGTAGGAAAAAAAGCAACAAGGGACAGTTTCTTTGCTTTCAGTTCAGTTCTTTTTAGACAGCAACGTGTCTGAAAAAAATCTCTCAACTGGTGTTTTTGGAGTTGCTTTATAGAGTCTTTTCTGTCTATCCTGATTTTCCTTGCAGTCTTACGCACTGTTTTTCTCCCAGTTCTTTTCACACTCACTCTCTTGCTTCCCTTCCTCCTCTACAAGTAATGTCTCCTCCTCTTGTTGGTTTGTATTCAGGCACCAGGAGAGCATGACCTGGTTCATATGGCTCAACACCTATTCCAGTCTTGCATTATTTTGGGCAGTTGTATTTGTATTTCAACCATCTACTCCATGAAGGAGATGAATTGCTTTTACATATAATTCACATTTACGTATAATTATGGAGTTTTTGATGTCTGATGACAGAAGGGAACACAGATACCACCTAATTGGACTTCTTATATTCACAGTCTCTAGTGTTTCTCAGAAGTTGTGCTAAAGCATTTGTTTTTATAAAGATATCTTCTCCTAGTTTAAGGTCTTCATATAAAATGAATCTACTGTCTCTTGCTGGTGACTTACTTCAGTAAGTGAAAATGGCATTAAGTTCATACCCTCCATGGCTCAAGACTCTTTTGTTTAGTTCTATTCCCTCAAAGGCAAGAGTTAAAATGCTTGAAAGTAGCACAAGTTCACAATATTGGAGACTTTTTTTTTAAAGGCTTGTTATTTTAGGGCGCTTCCTATGTATATTCTTCTCAGTAGTTTCATCTCCAGAGAATAAGGCAGGGAAAGGACTTTTTAACACTAGAGTGTTGATGTGTGGTATGATGTAAGAGAACAGAAATTAATTTGTGGTGTATGATCCGGTGCCAATCACAGAAACCAAGCTCAGTTGCTCAAAGCAATGTATGTGCAGATATAGACAAAGAGTGGCAAAATAAAGGGAAAGCTGCAAAGTAAACCTTTAAGGTTAATTAATATTTTTCTTCAGGCACATTGTTTGTAGGAAGTGAAGAAACAAAATACTACAACCAGAGAAAATTCTGGTTTAGGATTAAAATGTCAAACAATTTAAGTCTTTGAGAGGGCAGAAACTTGTCCTGAAGGGAGTTGACCTAGTGCCTAGAGGGGTCACATAGCTACTACTGGAACGAATACCAAGCTTTACCATGATGGCAGAGAAGTGACTATGGGCGTTTCTGTATTACTAGAAAAGTGTCATGACGACTGGCCAGATGATACCAAATGAGTCATAGCACTGCTACTAGGGCTGCTGTTGTTGTTCACTTCTGCTTTGCATCGGTCTTTGACTCATTTAGAGGTGAAGAATTCCTCTAAGTGTGTTTGGAATGAAAAGACCCATCGGCACTGAAAGAGTATCACTATTCTCGCTGTTAGTATCGCCGTTAGTCTCGCTCTCTCTTATGCAACAATTTGCGCACACATTTTGTTTTCATTATACTTCAGTGAAAGTGTTTTCCTTAGGGTTTCTCCTTTTGTTTTAGTTATTGGAGTTCTTTTATGCTGCTTTCCTTCAACCCTATTTCAACTGTAGAATATTTTCATTTCACTTTGTAATTTTCTTCTTTCTCTTGGTTTTTGCTTTAATTATCTTTCAATTTACTGTGTCTCTGTGGGGCTTTCTGTTTAACTCTCTCCTGGTTTTCTTTGGTTTAAATCAGCAGGTTTTTATTTAAATATTACCAAATTTTGCTTTTTGTCTGAAAGTTTCTACTTTAAAAATGATCTTAATAAACATCCTGCAATAGATGAATTTAACTTTTTTGTCATTGATATACCCTTTTTTTCTTTTTAGTTTAAACATTTTAGGTTAGTTTTCACCCCTTTTGCTTTTGACCTTCCCTTTTTTTGTCTTCTATTTCCTCTTGATTTCTAGTTTAATTGCTGTGCATTGGCATATAGACATGATACATACATTTTTCCTTATCATACGTTCAGA